ACCAGGAGGATGACGCACTAATGAGTTGGTTAAAATGAATACACGCAGATGTTTCAGCAACGCTTCAAACCCATCAGTGAGACTTAGTGTGGCCCCAAAACTCAAATATTCTCATTTGTATTTGTGTCAGAAACAGAGAGAAGCAGCAGCGGATGATACGACCACGTGAGGCTGAAGCTGGCGTCGAGGGAAAGAGATCCCGTAAACAGGAGAGCGTCGCAGCGAGCGCTTCCACCTGCAGGGGGGAGGCCTGCAGGGACGGCGCTCGCTCAGACAAACAGCTGACGTGAAGCTTCATGTCTGAACATGAACTGTTGCCATGTGACAACGGGATCGTGTTACCCAGCTGCTGGTGTTAAAAACATTTCAGATGATTTGAAGAGTCTGAGTGCAGATTTTCTCTTCTTAATTGTTTGTAACCAGAGAACACTCAGAGCTTCAGCTGCTGAAACGGGAGAGCGATGGGCTTAGAACGGCTCCATGCACCAATCTGAGAGCTGGGAGTCTGCAGCCATAAACCCTACATCTTCATCCGATGATCTGCAGCATGGTGCAGCATCATGCTGGAGAAGGCTCAGCATCACCAGCGAGCTCCTGGGAGGGGAAAGGACTGCAAACCAAATTGAGCAGCTTTAAAAAGCTCCAAACGACACAAATTCAAATTCATGCTCCATAATTTAGGCAACTGTTTTTTAACGAGCATGAACTTGTATATAAAACCTAACGGGTGACCACAGCCGCTGCAGTACCTGTACAAGCAGGTGGAGGACAGGAAGCAGGTCGGACCGCAACACGAGGAAACCAGGTTTCCTCTCGGTCACAGTTCAGTGAGCGGCGGCGTCTCGTGCTGTTTATTAGCCAAACACTCAGAGCAGCAGGAGCGTGATGCTCGCTGCGTTTCACCCTCTGACAAAACTTCCTCATGTTTGCCGGACGCCACCGTCGCTGCACTTCCTCTGCAGCGCCTGCCGCCCACAGACACTCGCGTTTCAGGGCCGCCTGCCTCCACATGCATGCCAGCCTCAGTTACACCTTCCTCTGGATTTACACCCAACAAACACAGTTTAGTGGCAGCAGAAATAATCCCAGGAACAAAGCGCACGAGCAGGCTCTTATTGTGGCAGTTCAGCCCGCCCTTCCTGTCAGGCCGATGCCTTCAGCTGAGTCTGTAACGATGAAGCTGCAGATAAGCAGGACTCAGACTGGTCTGACCACCGGAGCAACGAAACAGGGTGAAAGTTAAATTTTAAACTCTGCAGCTGAGCGAGGAACCAGGAAGTTATTCTGCAAGACTCAAACTAGACGTTCATCTTCAGGCTGTTTTCTTCCTCTTTCAAACTGCTGATTCAGATTAAATGACTAAACTGTGGGCGGTTTTGCAACTGTTTTCATTAGTAATCAGCCAATTAGTCGAACAACTGCTCCTAGAAAAACTAAAATTAGTGCAGAATGAGGGGAGAAAAGTGATGAAAGGGAGGGATTTCTGCGGCTGGTATTAAACTACAGACCTGTAACTGAGCTTCAGACACAAACGCCAACACAACAAACCGTCTGTGTCATTTTCTGAGAGTCAGATTTGACGATTTGATGTTTTTGTCAAAAAATATTCAACAATAAAGTGAATATCTGAGCTTTGTGCTGAGGATTATTTTCCTTTAAATGTCCTGATCCAGCATCAGTTGCTCCTGTTACACCAGCAGGAAAAAGTACTGCAGTATCTGCTGTTTCCATCCCCTCAGCGCTCAATCAGCTCTGCAGCGAACAGTTATTTTTATCACCAAATTCATGTTTATGTGACATAAGAATCATTTTATTGTTTATAAAATGAATTAAAAATGTATAATTTGGACACTTTATGGAGCCACTAAGGCCCGAAACACTCACAGCTTATTTTTCTTCATTGCTTCTAAAAAAAACACAAAACTTTTATTCCGATTAATCTGAAATCGATCAGCGTCGCTCCAATGTTGGAGCTTCAGGCCGCAGGAAGTCCCTCAAAATGAATAAATAAATATTGCAATTATGCCTCCCATTAAATATTTACGCCTGGAGAACGAAGCGGAGCTTTAAAAAGCCATATGGGATGTAAGCATTAAAGCTATTCTTCATTTCCTGATATTTCTGATCAGCTTTTATCATTGGCAGGTCAAAAATGGACTTTTTGCGTCTTTTTGGTCCTTTTTAACATTTACCCTGAAAAAACCCGACGTTAGAAACATTCGTGTCTTTAGCGGCGCTCTGAACGAACCAACTTTGAGGTCACATGTTAAAGCTTCATATAGGCCATCGAGTCGGACTCTTCCTCTGCCTTTGAGCACAGTCTGACGCCCTGAGTAAGAAACCTGCGGTCGTGTATATATTAGTTGGTTTTGAATTCGATTTCTGGGCGTGTGAACATCTCCAGCCGATGTACGACATTTCACACCTGGTCGGTGTTTCGTACGTTTGTACAAATTAAAAGCAGGATGAAGAACAGGAAGTGCATCACTGTTTGTTTCCAGCTAAAAATAACACAACCAGTTTTTTTTTTTTCAAAAAGAAATGATTTGCTTGCATTTGCATGCAGAGCAAATACACACTGCTACGTTCATCTGTGTCTGCAGCATGAAGAGGGTCAGGCCTGGGTCAGCCATTTTTGATAGTAATAAAAACAACAACCAGACATGAATAATAATAATTAGACGTTTGAGCTGTGACAATAATTCCAGACATCTAAACTTCACGTTGAGCACAAAAACAGCTGCAGCTTTGAGAGCACGCCAACCTGTTTACACGAAAAATGTGGCAACAAGGGACAAAGTCAGCACCAGACTCCTCTTACAAAACCAGCGACTCTTACATGAAAACAGGGTCGAGTTTATGCAACGCACCATTTCCGATATGACTAAATACATTAGGAACACCAAAGTCATGCAGCAGCAAGAACTAAGCAGCTGAGCGAGCTGTAAACAAGCAGCTCACGTGTTTTGTGACATAAAATTGCTGTTTTTGTGAATGAGTCTGGTAAAGCGTGACGGCTTCACGTCCTTGACACAGGTGTTGAAGATGATCTCAATACAACAGCCAATTAAAACGGATTCTTTTAGCTGTGCAACACCTGACACGGTAAACAACTGGAAGCAAAGCGTGAAATAACAGTTTTCCTGAGCCGTGGCCTCTGAAGGAGAGGCCTTTTTGTCTTTAATGTAACACACAGACAAAATATCAGGATGTGCTTGGTTCTAGCTGGGCTCGTCGCTACACCTCGCAGCCACACTTACTAATCTAGTCGTACAAGACTCGAGGAGAGAAGCTTCACAGCTGTCAGTACAAAAGGTGAAAGGTCAAAGAGAAAAACTTTCCACTGCTGGCTGGTGTTTTGCAAACAGGCGAAGTGCCACAGAGCCACTCGACATGCAGCTTCGATGTATAATCTGTTAACAGCAGCTCGAGCGTGAATGTCAGTGAGAGCCATTTCTTCAACAGCTATGACGTTGGTCTTTCCTCCTGCCCGTTTCCTCTCCTCCCAGTTTTCCACCTGCTTCCTAACAGGAAGTAACTGGCAGGAAAGAAAGTTAAGTTGCAAGTGGAATGGGCTGGGCTGACTCGCCCCCCCCCCAGTTAGAGGAAAATCCATCAAAAACAGCGGCGATGATCAGCATTTTATAGCAAAAAGCTGCTACACATGAGGAAACGGATCGTGTGCATGAAAGCTGTACATCCAACAAACCTTGACCTCACAGAGGAGAAACAGGCGGGATGGATGTAAACAGCCTGAAGCAGTCAGCACTTTAATGTCATTTTCAGCAGCTTACATGTGCTGGAGTAAAGGAAAGAGCTGAACCTGACTTTAAAGGCCCTGTATTCCTGTCACATTACAACAGGACGGGGTCTGATGAGCTGCACAAAAACATAACAGTTATTCCTCATCATTAGTCTTATTTTTGTGTGTTGGATTAAGGCAGTTAAGCCCTCTGGGTCTCTTCTGTTAATCGGAATCTGCAGAAGAAGGAATAAAGGCGAAAACACGGGAAGGAACGCTGATCCACAGCAGTGCTAACCCAATTAACTGGGGGTGTAAACACACAAGGGAAGGGGGGCATCCTGAGCTTTATCGAAACCACAATCACTTTGTGTCGTTGTGCTGTGCCTACACACCGAGTAGATCGGCCCGAAACAGGAACCAGAACTCACAAATGTCCGAAAACGAAACCTCCACCCTCTTTAAAACACATTTACAGCTAACTGAACCTGCGGTACCAGAAACCCGAAATAAGCCCGTGATGGAGGTAAGCGAACCTAAATAGCCCACCAATACGCTCCTTCGTACCAAATTCCATTCAAAAACACTTCATTTTAACATTTCGCCCCTGGTTAACGAGAATAAACAACACTCTAATATTTCACGTTTCATAAAAGCTGACTGTAAACATTGGAACTGAATCGAACAAGAACAAGCTCCATAATTTAAACAAATCTCGAGTTAAAATGCTGTTTTGCAGGTTACATGTCGATACCGCCCACTAAGGTTTCAGCGGTCTTTTACTGGACAAACACCGTGGGAATTCCTCTTTAAAACACCCAAATGTGGTGTAGAATTACACGAATATGGTGCCGGTTTTTTTTCTTTGTGCTAGATTAAGCGGTGGGCATTAACAGTTGATCATTTTTGGTGTGCTTTTCAGTCAAACGGAAACGTTAGCGGGATGTTGAAAATTGACAGATTTCTGAGCGGACGCTGGAACGCCGTCCCTTCCACCACAGCCGCGGATAGCTAACCCCACCCTGCTGTGCTAACTTCGCCTCCTGCAAACGAGGTCATCGCTCTGAGAGCTCCGGACCAGAACCAGAGGGCTCGCTCGCTGGTCTCGGCCCGGGTCTAGCTAATTAAGCGGGTAAATCTCTGATGCTCGAGCTGAGAGGAGAAACTCCTCCGCCTGGGCCACTAGCACGGCTGCTAGCGAAGTGCGTGAGAACCGACGCTAACCCGCAGCTAGCCGTTTATAGCCTAGCCGTCCTACCTGGTGCCCGCCTTGTCCCCCATCTCCTCTGCAGGCGGACGGCAGGAAGATCCCAACAAAATGAGGCCGGACTCGTAGGTGTCTTGACTTTAAAACGGAGGCTTTTCTTCAGGCTGTTCCCCTCACATCGGCGCACAGAGAACTAGTTAGTATGGTAATTTGATTTAGCGCCGCCTCGGCTCTCCACTGGCTTCCGCAAAGGCAGCAGCTCCCCCTCCCCTCTGCGTGTTTGTGCGCGCTCTGCTGTCTCTGTGAGGACCCGCTGCGAAATGAAACAGCAGCGGGCTAATCCAGCTGCTTTACAGGCTGACCGAGGGTTTACTGCTGCTTCAAGGTCCATTCATAGTTTGGCATAAATGATTCCTAAACTGCGGTGCAGCGCAGACATGCTGCTACCACCGGCCATTCAATGGTAAACAGAGCAGGAGATGATTCACATTAAACAGCCTGACATGTTTAAGGTTCACCGCAATCCAGGGCCGTAGTACCCACAAGGCTTCAGGTTTCCCGGATCCTCAGGAGCCCCCAGGAGTCCTCCACATTATGAAGCGATACAGAAATCAGGGAGTTGCTGATCTTTACTGTAGCTGATGTTTTTTCCCCAATAACACACCCGGAAACACAGTATGACAAAAGTACCAAACAGACGTAATTTTTTTTATTTAAAAAGATACAAAACTCCGAATGACTTTTTCCCATAGACGTCTACATGATCACCAACCACATGGTTTTAACTTGTCCGTCATTTGAGACGTGATGTCCTTACAGACTGGTCTGCAACCGTTTGGCAACCGCTGGTCGGTCGTGAGCGAAAAGTGTATTCCCCAACTCATTAGCAATTGCTTTGGTTGCTAGCAAGTTGCTGCAATCATCCGTGTGTCTGCAAAGCTGTGAAAAAAGCAACACAAATAGAAATGTCGAAGATTCACCTTCAAAGTGGAATTTGTGCCTTCTGACACATATCGGCGTGGTTCTGAGCCATCACTTGTACTTTGAAGGCGACCCTTCTCTGATTTGCATCGCACTATTTCAGGTTTCACCGTCACCACATCAGTAATTAGCAAAGCGTTTGCCCACAATTGGCATCTTCCATGCAAACTACAGGCAACCGAAGCAACCACAAAGACGTTTTTGTCGCAGCGTGCTCTTTGCAACCGATTTCACCAGGCATACGCTAACAACCTCCAGGAACCGTCACCAACTACTGAGGGAATACATACTTTGCCCTAATGTGTATCACCTCCAATATTGCAGACCACTCTGGAGGAATGCAGACTGACATCATGTGACAAGCCTCTAGGAGACTGGAGGTCTTTTTATGCAACCACAGTCATCGCCATCTATTGGTCTTCAGGTAGAACACGGGTTTAAGACACGTGCTTCATTTTTCCAACCTGTTCTGCTGGGCTTCACCTCAGCTTATCCGAGTGCCTGACCAATAAACTACACGGTTTCAGGCTTTACGGAGCAGAGCCCACAGACTGAAGCAGCGAAGTCACAGTGAGTATGTTCAACCTTCATCCAGAGGCCACGGTCGGAGAAAAGCCTTCAGGGCTGCTCTTGAAGGAAGCCCTTTTCCACCACTGCAAAAAATGCTACTCTGCCATGTAATCTGTAAATCACAATTTTGGGCTATCGTCTTCAAATTTGGACTTATTAAAACAACATTTCTTGAGTTACTGAGTGTCAGGCTAACCCTAGTTTTGAGTTATTAGATTGAAATTTAAATGTAGTGTTAAAGACGAGCTTCCATATTTCCTCCATAGATGTTAATGTTCTTCTGAGCCGCTGTAGGAACAGTGTTTGCTCTGTAAAAGGACATGCAGGCGTTTGCCCTGTGACATCATTGCAGGACATTTGCAAGTTAAGCCTGCAGCTTGTGCAGTTAAAGATTAGATGTTGTCACCTCGTTCCAGACTTAACACGCATTTCACAACTTCAAACTATTTTGTAACTAATTTCTGATATTATCAGCTGCAGAACACCGAGCATCAACTGGGATGTTTCATCATTTAAGTTTCTAACCACGAATGCAGGCGTACAATAAAGCAACAACTTATTTCTTACGACGCAGGAATTTGTTCATGTGTCACTTTTAGAACATTTAATCCCAAAATAAATTAAAAAATGGTCTGGATGAGCTCATCCAGGTAAGTCACCTGGATGACATCTTCAGTTTCAGCTGACTGCAGGTTTGTTCAGTCACCGGTGCAACAATCACCGGTGCAGCATCACATAACATGAGATCTGTCTTATGATGCAGACTGCCGTGACCTGTTTGTAAGGAGACCTGTGGTCAGCACAGACTCTGAAAAGTCACCTGGATGAATGAAAAATAGATTTTGCTGTTGATCCTGTTTAATTTCTTGACATATCAAACACATACCCACTGTTAGCTTGTTGTAAAGAGCAGATAGCTCCGTAGGAAACATGTTGTTTATACCATATTTCTATTAATCTTATTAACACACTGATATCAGTTAAAGTTTGATGCTTAAGGCTGCGTACTTTCACTCCAGGCTTAGTCTGTTGGTTTATTGGCTTCGGTGCATTTTAGGAAACTTTCATTCATCTGATAAACTCTCTGCTCTCAGACTAAAGGCGATGTCACAGCAAGAGCAATGGGAAAACCCCACTCCCTTCTTCTGGGAAAGCATAATAAAATTATAGTTATTTGAACTAATTGCATTACTTCAGAAATTCTGTCCTTAGATACACCAACAAAATTTCCATTTTATTGAAAGTTCTTATTAATTACCAAGGGAATAACAGCACGCCACTCATATCTGGAGGTTTGTTACATTTGACACTGAACAGGCGGCGCGCTCGAGAGGAGTGGAGTCACAGGTCACGCATCAAGCATCGCCAAACACTCACTCGGTTTTCGAGGGCTTCATAATCCACTTAACACTAATTGGGTTGGAATGGCACTCCATGTGGCGGACCCTCCACGTGAACACGAGATGGTAGCTCAAAGGTAGCTCTTGTGCTGCCTACATGTGCTAACAACATCTGCTTTCAACGGTCTCTCCTTGCAGTTTCTGCACAACATGAGGTTTGGATCAGAACGTTCTTCATTGGACTTTAAGGACTAACACGTTTATTTGAAGCTAGACAGACACTTTACTCGATTCATCTAGAGCTAACAGTTGGTTCTTTGTGAACAGAAATATTTTATCCTGAATAAGCCCCAAAAGTTGGTTTTCTAACAGTGAAACCAGAAGTGCCTTAAACTGTATTCTTTTTAATGGCCACCAGGGGGCCAACGACTTCTCGTCCTGTGGACCGTTATCTAACCTAGTGGGCCGTGACGGTACTGCAGGTGTCATAGAAATTCAGTTTTATTTTACTTACAAAGTACAATTACATATTTATATTAATTTATGTGAACTTGAAATGCAGGAGAAGTTTGTGTCCTAGTGACAGATGGGTCACGTTAGCCTTAACACTTTGCATATAAACTGCCAATGCTAATGGGTAACATTAGCAGTTTATAGCCAACAGACTGATTTTGAATAACATTGTCATGTAAATGCTTCACTCTCTCACACTTTGATCAGAGTGGAGGTTTGAGATCGGGATTTTCTGGTTTTGCAGCACTCCTGACTTTGGGAATCGCTGCTTTGGAGAAAAAGCTTTAACAGCTTTCTTTACGAAGTCATTGACTTCTGCAGAGTAAGACCGGTGACCTAAGCAGAGGCTTCGTCACATGTGCCAAGCTGGTTTCGCCCTCAACCCCCACTGATGGTAATGACCCATACCAGCGACTGTCAGGATCGACTCCAAACAGGTTAAATACCTAGGACTCTCCTGTTTTAGAACTGAAGGAGCTCCTTGGATGAGACGTGACATGTGACATGTCTTTACAAACATAAAGAAGTCACGCTGCCCTCTTTTTTCCCCAAACTTTAGGACTAGCAAAGACAAACAATGTCAGATTAAACCAGTTAGCTCCTGAACATCAGCATGAACAGCAGGTGAAGGAATTCACTAGTTTAAACTTGAGGAAAAAGAACACAAGAACTAATAACAGGGATTGTTTATAAAGGCCTGAATGGAAATGTAACAGCTGGCTCTTCACTTCCAGGATGCTTACATCCTCATCATCAGCGCCACCATCCATCCATCCTGAGGAAACAAAGAGCTACACAGTGTCCTAAAGCTCAATTTTAATTTCAACTTTATGTCATGCCTAGAAGGTTAAATGCAAGGAGGACAAAGAGAAGTGGAACTGGTCACCGAGCAGAAATGATTCAACTGAATCAGCACATAGCTCCGATTCTGCACAAACCACCAAACACAGAGTCACAAAAGGATGAAACAGCGAGAATCACATTTGCGTTATTGATGTCACGTGTCTCGTCTCCAGTCCTGTGATCAGTCAGTAAGATCATCGCTGAGGTAATCCAAATGTTCAGATCCGGATCGTGTAGGAGTCCGAGTGGGTGACGTATCGGACCCAACGCTGCGAGGGGCCAGGCTGGATGGGCGACAGGCGCAGGAAGCGGATCTGCAGCCCCGTGGCAGTGATCTTCGGCAGCTCGAAGCTCAGACCCACCGGACCGACCTCCAACATAGAGGCCGAGCTGAGGCTGGGGACCTCCAGCTGAAAACAGGGGGGGCAGAGGTGAGGGGTGGGGGTGCTCGTTAGTTAATAATTTATATGTTCATGTGATAACTTTCACACAAACTATAGGCAGCCGAGGCTTTCAGTATCACCTCACACCTGTCTGGAGATTCGCACAAACATTCGCAAACCTCTCGGTAAATTCATTTTTGTCCCTAGCGACCGGTGGTTGCCGGGCGGTCACTACCAGCCTTTAGGCCCGTGTGAGCAGGCGTTTAGCCAGCGTGACGGAAGTAAAGCTAAACGTTTCCTCTATTAATATTTCTGTTTTCTTGGAACTTTTTAATCACATTGATGGTAATGAATCAGATTAGCGTGTTTTCACGGGACTGTGCAGTCATGTGAAAACACGCCATACTTGTTCAGGCTTTTTCCAATTGGACTGTGTTTCCTTCAATCAAAGCACAAATCTAAAACCTGAACCGTCTCTTAGGATTAGACACATCACTGCACCATCCTCCATCTTGATTTCAGTGATCACATGACCACTTTCCTCTTGTTTGGAGGCAGGTGCCACTGAGGGAGGAGGTCCTTTCCTAAATCTCTGACCGATCAGCACGCTGTAACAGAGGGCGTGAAGCACGAAGAATAACGTGTAACTGGAACTCCCGATCCTTTTTGTCACTGCTGTGATGGCGGCCATGTTTGTGCTTCGTTTTTGTGAAGCTGCAGGAAGCGGTTGAGTGTCGCCCGTCTGTAACTACATTTATGTGTTTGAAAGTTTCATTTTGACCTGCATCACAAGAGTTTGTGTATTTGATTGTTAGTATGAACAAATTTCCAGATACTCCAGGCGTGTGTGGTCACCACACAGGGGGCGATCGTGGTTCAAGAGTTGAGTTCGCCTTGTTGCCGGTTCGAGGCCCGGCTCCGACAGTCCCGGTCGTTGTGTGCTTGGGCAAGACACCACTCCACCCTACTGGTGGTGGTCAGAGGGCCCGGTGGCGCCAGTGTCCGGCAGCCCCGCCTCTGTCCGGGTGCCCCAGGGCAGCTCTGGCTACAATGTAGCTGCCATCAGCAGTGTGTGTGACGCGCTACACAAATACAGGCCATTTACCTTGAACAGCGCTGAGAGCTGTGTCCCTCCAGCGAAGCGAGCGATCTGCCAGACGACGGCTCGGCTCTGCGGCTTCAGCTCGGCGCTCTGATCCGGGCTGCTCAGCTCCTGCGACAAACTGAGCAAACAAACAAACGTGAGCGGCTTCATTCACACCTGACAACCTGCTGCAAACCACCCCCGCCAGAGGTCAGAGGTCACCTGGCTGCTGTTACAGACATAATCTCAGTGTGCGGCGGCGAGGCGGAGAAGCTTTCAGACATGATTTGATTGGTAATCCTGACAGCAGCTTTCAGCTGATGTAACCGTCATTTTCCACAATGCTGCTCCGTCCATAACTGAACTCTGTGGTCGTTAAACTGACCTCAGCTCTCCAGTCACGGCGAGCGTAACGTCCAACAGGAAGGACGCAACGTTCATCAATCACTCGCAGCTGTCGGCAGCAGTTTGTAAAGCAAGGCCTCAGATGAGACTTCATTCTGATTCAAGCAGCTCAAAGCCGTCTGGAGACCAAAATACTAATTTTGCTCTACAAGGGCCTGATATCCACTGACGAGGACGTTATGCTGCTACTGTTCTATCAAAATTTAAAACGAATGTCCTCATACGTGGATCTCATTTTCATCAAAAAGAAAAATCAGGTAATTCTTTGTTTTTACATTCATCGGGTGCCAATCAGGCCAAAGAGCAAAGAGAAATTAAAAATGCCGTGAAAGAGTTTGTGTCTTAGGAGGTTAAAGCTTTAAACTTTTGAAACATTTTTCTTAAAACTTCGTGATGAAAACTTCATCGCTGCGAGTTTGCCACATCAACACAAGCTGTACAGAAACCACCTCAGCTCACGCCTGCTGCTGGAAGATTTACGGCTGGATGGAGCGAGAAACCACGACCCCTCTGCCCCGCGGCCTGAATGCTGCCAGACTCTTCTGTGTGGAGCTTGTGGTTATTCTATGGTTCAGTGCAAGTCGGGCTCCACGGTGCTGGGCACTGAGCAGCAGAGGACGTCGAGCCCTCGGGCCACCCTCTTCTGATTGTTTGCTCAGAGATCAAGGTTCTTTATTTGTCACATGCATAGTTATACTTGTATAACTATGCATGTGACAAATAAAGAACCTTGATCTCTGAGCATCAGCGACCTGCTGGGATGTGTGCCGCTCTGACAGCGCTCTGTTCCTCCTGACACAAAGCAGCAGATGCCGGCCCTGCTGATGGTTAAGGACCTGAGCCTGTGCTGGGAGACACAGCAAAGAGCTGGACTACCTGTGCACCCTCCACAGGGTCCAGGTATCACCTCCTGCTAGCAGCAGTGACACTGAGACTAGCCAAATGCAAAGTGTCCTGTCACAGCGTCCCTGTTTAGGGTTTGTCTCGTTGTTGGCCCTCTGAACCTGACTTACCCCCCGATCAGTATCCCTGATGTTTCATTGACATGACGGCACAGTGATTAAAAAGCTGTAATCTTTCTGATCAGTGGATTACAGGGATCTGATCATGTGATCTGCGCTGACTTTGACAGGCTTTTAAGTAAATTGATGTCTTTATGATTTTACTGGTTTGGACTTCACATGACGTGAGAACCTAAACCAACACCATCCCTGCTGCCTGTACGTCACCTGTGACTGTGCAGCAGGACTGTCTCGAGGCCCTCCACACATCGCTGACTTTGATTTCCATGACTTTCCTTAACAAATAAGAACCGCCCCTCCTACTTTGCTAATGTTGTTTTCTATTTAAAACACTTCTAAGAAGAGCCGCGGTTTCTTCACAGGCTCGACGAACTCTCGTCTGGCCTTAAGCTTCCTGTTCAGGCAGAACAACAACAACTGAGTCACATTCAAATCGACGCGCCGGCGCTGCGTTTACATACAGACTGATTTCCATGAGAAGCAGCAGCTGGTTTGAATGGCAGCGCCTCACCTCACGGAGCCTTTGGGGACGGGGATGGTGGCACACACGTTGATGGCGGCGCTGCAAAACAAAACAATGACGTCATCATCATCTGTCATTATCACCCGAGTGCTGCACTGACGCCTCAGCTCGGTCCTCGCTTTGCTTACAGTGATCGTAAAAAAGCTGTTAGAGCTTTTTCTCCAAAGCAGTGATTCAGTCAAAGTAGCATTATTCTGCTCGGTTCCCTCCTCAGATCACAATAATCCTTCTTTATCTTAAACAGCTGAGAGGAAAGGAAGGAGTCTCCCATATCTAAAAAGACTGGATCCTACACTTCCCATCATGCCTCTGGATTGTGTGAGCCCCTGCTGACTGCTTCCCCAGATTGAACTCTCCTTTTTAATTTGGTGCGCTGGCCCTTTAAAGCGGCGTCTGGCCGACAGCAGCTGGTGTCGTTTCCAACACGGACGCCGTGAATCATTCAAACACACCTGCTGCACCTGCAGACGGCCTCAAGCAAACATGTCTGCTGCTTCCACCTGAAGCGCTTTCTGTGTAAATATGTGGGATGCAAACAGACCTCTTTGGTGGTAGATCGCAGCGAAGCTTCATGTACATCAGCAGCCTGCAGAGAGGAGAAACTCGTTCACACAGAACGTCCCAGAGTTAATAAAACCAGCTACAACAAAACCATGATGGTGCCGAGTAAAGCTGTGAGCTCCTGTGTGATGTTAGTGAACAAGCTGATCTCCCCAAGGTCAAAACTAAAGAAATAAAATAAATAGAGAAGTTTTAGTCACCGAAAACTGAAACACAAAGCCTGCCAGTAAACTGTGATGTGACTTTACTGCAGAAGGTTTTCTTGTACGCTGATAAAATGAAAGAGACACAGAGACAGGCTGGCAGGTCAGCAGGTTAACTTTAGGTTAACGAGCTTTAATAATCAGTTTGTTCTGTGCTTCAGTTTTAAGTTCAGTTACAATTTAAATACACGTTCCTGAGCTACGGAGCTAAAGTCCTATACTGCAGTTCCTCTAATGTCCACTAGAGGCTACAGCGGTGAGTGGGTCCCCACACCAGAAACAAACATGTTTACAGCCTGAAACACAAACTCTTCATTCTCTGCTCATCATTTCACACCTGTATTTTATAACTCATGTGTTTAAACTGCATTAAGGGTTAAAGTTTCCATCAGGGGCGCGTCGGTGCTTTTGGAGCATTTCTATAATAATCCTGCTGTCGAGTTGTTGGACCAACGGACCTTTCAGGAAGTCTGAGCTCCAGGTCTGGTGAAATTCTGGGATGTTAATTGGATGTTTTTTAGCATCAGTTTGCAGATGGGATGCTGCAAACTGAAGTTAGGCAGCTTTAGCTGATATGATCAACAATCATTTGCATATTATTGATCATGAAACTGAGCTCACGGCACCATCGTTCATCAGTGGAGTTA